GTCAAAATGAAGAAATAAAATTAATGTTGTGAAATCATTTACTGAACGCCATTCGAATAATTTCCAATAAAATTCGTCATTTTTTAAAATAAAAATGTTGTTACGTTCTCCATTTTTAAAACTTTTTTGGACTTTGAATAGCATTTGAAGTGGTTTTTCCTCGGGATCATCATCATCAGCAGCCCGCCCGACTCCGAAGGATTGTTCGGTCACTCCCGCCTTCTCGGGCCGTGAGTGCGACGAAGACAGAGCGACGAGGCGATCCGCCGGAATCCGAGGCGCTGCCACTGCCGCCGTGTTTGATCGCCGAGTCCAATACAACTCCGTTTCAATTTCCCGGAGTCGGGGAGCCGGAGCCCCCCGACGCGGTGGCCCGGCCCAGCCCGGCCCAGCCCGGCCCGGGGCGCGTGGCGGTGGGGCCTGGGGCGGCCCGGGGCCCGGCCAGGCCCGCGCCGTGCGCACCGTCACACGACCCCGGGGGCCCATGCGTCACCCCGCTACGCCCCCGCGCCGCCCCCGCCTTGCAAGGACGCCCAGGACTCGGAGGACTCGGAGGCGACGGCGCAGCGGCGCGCGGCACGGTCCCTTTAAATTCTCCGGCGCTCCAGGAAGCCGTTCCAGGGCGGGGCCCAGGGCGGGGCCCAGGGCGGGCGGGGCGCGCGGGGAGCGTCTCCGCGTCAAGCCGGTCGAGAACAATTTCATCGGCACATTTCCACGTTGCCACTTTGGCGCACTTTGGCGACGTCCAGGCCCCTCCCTCGAGCCCCGGCAGTGCACCACGCTGCAGGGCGGCAGGGCGTTTCCCCGCGGTGCACAGTGGGCCAGAAGACCGGCGGAGGCGGCCGAAACTCTTGACGCTTTTTGAGCTCCAGAGTCGTCAAACAGGACTCGAACCGAACGTGTGACCCCATCAATGGATTGCTCTCCGAGCAAGGAATCCAAAGATGGGGTCACACGTTCGGTTCGAGTCCCATTTAGCGACTCTGGAGCTCAAAACGCGTCGAGAGTTTTGGCCGCCGCCGCCGGTCTTCTGGCCCACTGTGCGGCGCCTCGGCCGAGTACCCTGGCGGGCTGGGCAGCAAGGAGTGCCCCTGTCAGGGCGGCAGGGAATCCCACGGCCCGGCCCTACCCGTGTCGCCGCCCCGCCGCTCCGCGCCTCGCCCACTCGGCTTCCTGCGCATAATTGATGGACCATTGAAGGCCGTGTCGAGTGCTTTCCGCTGTTCCCGCCAAAAACGCGGCCCTGCAAGCCTGCAAGCCGCGGCGGGGCCGCGCCTGCAGGCTGTCTCTCTCGCACCCATTGCGCAGCCCGTAGCGGTGCGAGAGAGACAGACACTGCTCGCAATGAGCCCGCCGGCCCCGCGGCATAAAGGAAGGGCTGCCCCTCCAGTGATAAATCCTGGCCTCCTCCCTGCAGCTCGCGCCCAGGCCCGCGCCGTGCCAGCATCGCACGGGCATCGCGCCGTCGGGGTCCGGCAGTATATATTCGGCCGCCAGTTCATCTTGTACAACTTTCAGGAGCGAACACCTCTACCTCATACCGGGACCGCCTTGGCGCCTTGGCGCGCCGGGCAGGGAAACAAAAGGAGGAGTGTGCGCGCCGAAGAAAACAGCCAAGGCTGCAGCGGTCTGTCTCTGTCTCTCTCGCACTCAGGGCGTCCCGTACACGTGCGAGAGAGACAGAGCGAGGAGAACGCTGGGGGAGCGCGCGGTCAAGCTTCAAGCGAGCTGCAAGGTACGAGGCGGGCCGAGGCGGGCAGAGGGAGGGCACTGGCACTACTTTGAGGCGAGGGGCGAGCGCTTGAGCACCCTAAGCCAGGCCCCCGGCCCCCGGCCCCTCCCCGTTCCCAGTGGGGCTCACGGCTCGGCTCACGGCTCGGCTCACGGACCGTGGCGCGCCGTAGCGTCATCAGGCGTCGTTGAACCGAGCCGCCCCCACGCGGACTAATGAAGTGAGTGTTGCTCCTTGATTGTCGGGCTGACCCGGACCCGCCCGGGCCGCCGCCACCACACCAAAGCACTATGGCGAGCTCTGACCCCTTCCCCTCCACGTTCGGCGGCCCGGCGCGGCCCGCTGCGGTGCGTGTGTGTCGTGTCTGTCACCCCCCAACTTTATCAATTTCAAAACTCTGCCGGCCCATCTGTCTGCGGCCTGCCGACAATATCGCAACACGCGGCCAGCCAAATCACCAGGGAAGCCATCGGGACCGCCCCGCCCCGCCCCGCCCCGCCCCGCCCCGCCCCACCCCGCCCCGCCCCGCCCCGCTCCCTGCATTTGGCATTCGGGCGGTCCCCTTCGGTCCCCTGATCGCCGCCACGCCGCCGCTCACCTTTACGACTTGCTGGGGACCTGATCACCGACCGGGCCACGTCGGGGCCACGGCCACGGCGACGCCAGAGCAGCGCGGGGAGGCCCTCAGGCAGGAGGCCAGGGTGAGGCCGCCGGGAGGTCGCCGTCAAAGCGGACTCCGAGGCCACTGTGCGTCTGGCGGCGCCCGCCAGACCCAGGGCCAGGGCCTCGGCCAGGGCCGCCCCGACGCGCAAGGCAATATCGAAACAAGGCGGCCAAAGTACGTTGTTCCGTTTAAAGCGATTGTTACGAGGCTGCTGGCTGGCTGCTCCGGCTTGCCGCCGCGCCGGGGCCCCGCTCGGGCCCGCCCTGCCAGAAGGTGGGTGGGTGGCAGCGCGCAGCGCCCAATGAACGGGAACCGCGACGCGGCGCTGCACTGCAAAACGAGTGGCCCAGGCCGTGGCCGTACCCCCCGCGGCCCGGTCGAACTTTGCCCCTCGGAGGGCCTCCGCTCTGCCCCGGCGGTGATGCGGCGCCCCTCAAACTGGCACCGGGGGACTTCCGCGTGCTGACCTGCCACCTCAAGGGTCGCTCTGTCTCTCTCGCACCACTAAGGGACGCCGAAGGAGTGTGACAGGGACAGACCCCGGTACCCCGCAGGCGGCTGGCGGGCGGCCTGCTCCAGGAGGTCCAGGAGGTCCTGCCCGAGCACGGCGCGCGGCTCGCTAGGGCCCTGTGGGCTCGGTGCCGCTCGGTGCCGCTCGGTCCGGCCGGGCAACCTCCGGCTAGCCAGCGAGGCGCTACGTGAGGTCACCCAGGACTGCTCCCAGGTGACCGGTGTGTTCTGGAACATTGGACAACCCGCACCGGACACCCCACCCCCTGCCTACCCTCGCCGAACCTTCGCCTCGAACGGCACTGGTGGCCGTTTACTCCACACCACAGAAGAAAGTGTGACAGAAAAAATGGAATGACATCACGGCACGGAAGTTGAAGATTGAAGGGTGTGATTTACATTGATGGCGAGGGAATTCAGAAATATACAGTACTTCTCTGTTTAACAAACTCTGACCAGCGAAAATCTGCTTCTTCCTGCGAGAGTAAAACCATTTCTTCTAGCTTCTCTCTCTTTTTCCCTTTTTCCTTTCTTCAAACCCTTTGCTCTGTTCCCATCAAACGAGAAACAGCCACTTGCAGTGCGGTGGCGGCGCGGCACGACGTGATTCCGCGGTGCTGCGGCGAGCACAGGGTCTGCCTCGCGGAGCGTGGGGCGCACAGTGGGCCAGAAGACCGGTAAAGGCGGGCAAAATTCTAGACGCGTTTTGAGCTCCAGAGTCGCTACATGGAACTCGAACCGAACGTGTGACCCCACCAATGGATTCCTCGTTCGGAGAGCAATCCATTGGTGGGGTCATACGTTCGGCTCGAGTCCCAGTTAGCGACTATCTGGAGCTCAAAACGCGTCCCGAGTCTTGGCCTTGGCCGCCTCCACCGGTCTTCTGGCCCACTGTGTAACGTAAGTGCAGAGCGTAGAACGGCGTGGAGCGTAGAACGTAGAGCGTTGGAGGGAGGGTGGCCGCCTTCTGGAGCGTTCCCAGCTTTCGGAACAGTTTGCGGGCCCAATTACACGCAGAGAGTTTGCTCTTGCGTCAAGTGCGAGCATGGAAAAGTTTCCTCGGACGGACGCGGTGGCGAGGCGACGCAGCGGCGAAGCGCGGCGCGGCGTGGTGGGTGATCCTCCCGTCCCGGACCGGGTGGCGGTCTGGTCTGCCGGTCTGGCCGTGGCCGAGGAGAGCCTCAGCGCGGTCACACCCGGCCGGGCAAAAAAGAAGCAACCTCCCGGGCCAGAGTCCCCATTCAATGCTTGTGTCTCGCGCAGCGGGCCCCCAGCGGGTGGTATCCACGCCGCCCGGCCCGCCCCCGCCTCTCTTGACGCATCCAGAAAAGTTTTGAAAGCATCTGATGTAGGGGCGGACATCTCCGCAGCGGACGAGACAGTTTGAGGTCCAACTTCAGTTCATGGGTCGAAACTTTGGGGCGACGGTGTAGGGGGCCCGGGGCAAGGGGGGGTGGGTTTATTCTACTCGCAGAGCCCCTTCCCTGGCAAGCAACCCTTGGCTGGTGAGGTCACAGTAACATATGGGCGGGGTCGCAAGGCTAGGAGCCGGGCCTCGAGCCGGGCGGGCCACGGCGAACCTCTATAGACGTGTGTTGTGGCTCGGGTAGCGGGGAAGCCCGGCCGCGCCGTGCCGTGCCCTGGCGTGCCGTGGCGTGCCCTGGCGTGCCAGCACCGAAGGGCCGCGATAATGGAATGGGCCCTGTAACGAAGGTGCGGCGTGCACTCGATACCTACCCGGATTAGGGAAGAGACACGCCAACCCTGGAAAAAGGCGGCCCAAAAGGGGCGGAAAACAGCGGTAGCTCCAACCGAGTACGCCACGCTACCCGATAAAAAGCAGGCAAAAAAAGGGAGGAAGACACTGAACAGCAGTAGCTCCAACAACAACGAGTACTGTGACTAACAAAACTGCCGCTTCCTCTGCAGAAAACGGCATTTCCTCAGCTAGCCTCGCTCGGGGACGCGGCGGCAGCGCGACAGAAGGAAGCGCCGGGCGTTATAAACCAACCCGCTTTGTTTTGTTTTTGTTGTTTTTCCTTTTGCATGCTGACGCCGCGGCGATAAAAGCCGCCCCTAGTGGATTGCACCCACCTTGTCCTCCGCCTCCACCGCCCTCCCTTCCGCCTCGACGACGCGCTGCTCCAGCTCCGCCAGCTGCAAAAAGAGAGAGAGAAACAGTGAGACACGTGGCGCCATCATTCGCACGTCAAGCTCTTGTTGTCCTTGTTGGCGGTCCCCCGATTCCCCGATTCGCGCCTTGTCCACGCCGATCACGGCCGCCCGAAATGCAAATCGGGGCGACACGGGGCCTTCGTAATGACCGCCCCGCCCCGCCCCACCCCGCCAAGCCACCGAGGCGCCGTCCGATGCCACTATTTAGACTCGCAGCCTTGGACGCAAATTAAATTAATCGGCGCGGCGGCAACGCCTAATGCGGTTATACTGCTACAGTACTGCTTTGGCCGCCTGCCCGGCCGTTCCTCAATGCCGCCTCTGCACCGCGACCCATTGCCCAGGCCGTGGCCCAGGCCAACGTATTGGCAGGGGACTGCGGGCCTTCGGGCGGGGCTGGCGGGGTCACCCCGGCGAGGTCGCAGGGCACCGGGCCAGGCCGCCAGGCTGCGGACGCAGGGCCGGCCGGACCCTCGGAATAGGTAAGTCCTCGGGCACGTGTGGGTCGAACATCCCCGTTGCGGCCGTGCGGGGCCGTGCTGGGCCGGCCCGGCTTCATCGCGCGGTCATGCTTCCTGCGAGCCAATCCCTGGGTCATGGCTTCCAATGCTGAGGAGGGAGGCCCGCGCCCGGCAGCCTTCGGGCCAGGCAGGCAGGCAGGCAGGCAGGCAGGCAGGCAGCCTCGCCCGGCCCTCAGCATGCACCCCACCACCCAGCTGGTGTGCCGCGGATCGATGCGACGTGCATGCATCGCGCGGTGCTGCCCTGCGCCGGGTCGACGCCGGCGCCCTCTAGCGACGCCCAGCGGCGGCGCCGAAGGGGTGCGAGCGCCGCCCTCTGGCGCGCGGGGTATCGACGCGCACGGCGTCGCGGCGCGGAGTCTCGCCGCGTCGGGACACCGCGCCACACCGCCGTCGCGACGCGGCGCGCGTCGCTACCCCGCGTCGCTGCGACCCCACAGAGTCGCTACCCCACGCCGCTGCCACGCCTCGCCGCCACTACCCTCGCGTCGTCGCTACCCTCAAGTCGTCGCTACCCCGCGTCGCCGCGACCCCTCGGCCGCGCAGGGTAGTCCCACCCTCGGCCGCTCCAGTGCGGGGCGCTAGCGTCACGGCCACTGAACCCCATCCACCACTCGGCCATACGACGAGGCCCCTGCGGGTTTACGGCAAGAGGCGATGGTGAAAAGAGGAGATGGAGAGGGGGGGGGGGACTGGACTGACCCTTGGCCTCGCACGCAGCAAGTAGCGCGGCGGCGGCCTGGTTGCCCCGGGTTGCCCCATTGGGAGCGGCCATCGCTCTGCCCCAATAACGTGTCTCGCGCCGGAACACAAGTTTCCGTGACAGGGTCGCTCGGCAACGGCCGAAAGAAGCGGCAGCAGAGGAAGAACGAGGACAGAGCGAGAAGGCTCGGGATGACTGCCGGCAATGACGACTCCCCGTCGCACCGTCGTCATCGCGCCGATTTGTCCGGGACGTGACTGGCGCGGCGCGGCGGGGCCCTCGCGACTCGCGACGTCGCGTCCCAGGCAGCCGCCGAGGAGGCAGCCAGCACGGCGCGGACGCCCCCGAGGGTGGAGGAGTCCGTCGGGTCGGGGTAACCTTACCGCCAGCGACGGCCTGCCGAATGAGAGTCGCTTCGTCGCTCTGTCTGCCGCACTCGCGGGGCGTCCCGCTGGGGCGCGAGCGCGACAGGGCGAAGAAACGACTCTTGGAGATCATTGCGACTGTCGCGCTTTGCCGTCGGCCCGGGAGGTCCACGACCGTCCGCGACGCCATGCCGGCGTGACGCGGCGCCTTTAATTAAAATCTTGTTGGCCACACGGAGGGCGGCCGGGCGGCCGGGCGGCGCGGGGCGCCAAACAGCGGGCAATAAAACGCTGGGCCGGGGCTCTGCGGGGCTCTGGAGGCCCCCGACGGGGCCCGCGCCGCCGCCCCGCGCCACTCCGTGAGTCCGTGCGGTCCAGAAGGGTCCTTGGGGTGTCGCCGGGGTCCCAGGCCGCACAGTGGGCCAGAAGACCGGTGCAGGCGGCCAAAACTCGAGGCGCGTTTTGAGCTCCAGAGTCGCTCAACAGGACTCGAACCGAACGTGTGACCCCACCTATGGATTCCTCGCTCGGAGAGCAATCCATTGGTGGGGTCACACGCTTGGTTCGAGTCCCATTCAGCGATGAGCTCAAAAGGCGTCCGAGATTTTGACCGCCTCCGTCGGTCTTCCGGCCGACAGTGCGCCCAAGCCCCTCCTGCTCCAGGAAGGTGGAAGCGGAGCGCGAAGCAAATCGAAGCGAGCAAAGGCGATGACAATTTGCCGCGCTGCGCTCTCAAAGACGGCAAGGAACGAGGGCGGGCGCGATGTCAGTGTGTGTGTGTGCCTGTCTGAGGGAGCGCCTAAGTGTGAGTGTGTGCGTGCGAGCGGATCGTGGCGGTGCCCACATGATACGCGCTGACATTGATTTCTGGGGAAAAGGGGGACGAGCTGAACCGGGAAGGGAAATGTGCGAGGGAGAAAGAGAGACGAGTCTGTCGGGGGACGGGATGGGGAGTGAGGGGGATGGAGCGAGCAAGCGGATGCAACGCAAAGCAGGTGGGACATCGAGGCGGGCAGGCCCGAGGCAGGCCTGCTGCAAATAGGAAAATGGTCGAAAATGGAATGGAGAGCAGAGGCAGCGAGGCAGCGGGGACATCCGCGGAGAGCGGGAGGGAGGCAGTGAGAGGGAGAGAGACAGAGGAGAGTGCGGCGACGGCGCGGGGGAGACTTACGACTGTTGCGGCGCGGTGCGGCGCAGGACACGCCACGGCGGGCACGGCGCGGCGCAGCAGAGGTATGGCAACATGGACCCTCCGCGCCACCCCTCCAAACTCTGTAGGTTAGGCCGCAACTGCGCGGAAAGAGGGAAAAAGGGGAGAGAGGGAAGGGAAGGGGGTGGGGGGGGCAGGGCCGCGGCGTTTGTGCCCCACTCCACGCGGCCACAAAAGGGGGCCGCTCCTGCCGAGCTCCGAGCCGCTGCAGGCATCGGCGCGACGGAGCGGCTGATGACACGTAAGCAAAGCAGGCACCGCCACCACGGGGACGTGGCACGGTCTGGGGTTCGAGCCCCGGCACCGGCCGATCCTTCGCTGGCGCCGTCTCACTGCGTGGGCGGGTCCGCTTCCGCCCCGGCGGGGAATCGAACCCCAGACCTCGAGATGACGGCGCGAGGCGTTGGTCGATGCACGTGTGGGCTGGAGGCCAAGGCCGGCAAGGCCGGCGAGGCTGACGAGCTTTCCGTGTCGCTCATGACGTTCATTATTCCGCAGGCCGAACGGCACTCTCCGTCTCTCTGTCTCTCTCGCACCGCGACGCCACGGACGGCACGCCCCACGGGTGCGAGAGAGACGGAGGAAGCGCATCGAGAGGGACGGCGCGGCCCTCGGAGTCGCAACGGCGCCGCGCGTCGTTACCGAGTCCATCAAGCACGGCGTCGTCGTCGCCGACGGCCATCAGCGTCCGCACCATTGCACCGCCGCCGTGGCGCGCCTGCAGGCTCGTTCTGGCCGCGTCGGCGTCGCTCTGTCTCTCTCGCACCCCTACGGCACGCCGCACGAGTGCGAGAGAATCGGGCCGCGGGACGCCGACGCCCCTCCTCTGGGCGCCGCTTGGCCGCTTCGCCGCTTGCGTGAGGCGCGCGGTGCTAGGCACGCCGAGCGCCGCGCCAGGCAGGCAGCCCGGCCGACTGCCATGCGTGGCGGCAAGGCCCGCCACACGGCGCCCTGGGCCCGCCGGCAGCCCCAGCCCAGAACAGGCGGCCACCGTGTCAGACAGCCAGGGGGAAATTGCGGCACCTGTACCTCCACCCGCCCCGCCCCGCCCCGCCCGCCCCGCCCCGCGACGCACTGTCTGGTCGCACACGCACAATAAGTGTCATGCCTGGCGTGCCAAATATTGTCCGCGGCATCCGCACTCCGACCAAAGTGAATATTTGGTATTCATGAGCGGGCCGGGCCGGGCCGGGCCGGGCTAGGCCCGCCAGGGAAAAGGTGCGCGGTGGACAGGACAGCCCCGATTCCAACCCCGCCCCGCCCCGCCCCGCCCCGCCCCGCCACGAAAAAGGACAAAAGAAAGGGCGAGGAATCAAAAAGGGGTGCGGCATTCGCCAGGCATTTGCCAGGCAGTGCGCGCGCCCCGCAAACAGCGTGCATTTCCTTTTTGCAGTGCCGGCGCGTTTATTTGTTTTATTCCATTGCCAGTTCGCTGGCGCGCTGGCGCCGCCGTGTTTTCGGGCGAGGCTGCATTTCGGGCTCCGCGCCCCGCCGCCAGATAACAGGGTAGTGCCCCGCCCCGCTGTCCGACAGCCGAGACCGTTTCTCTGCTGCCAGGAGCATTTCTTCGGCCCAAGAGCATTCTATGCCAGCAGCATTTTTCCAAGGAGTAACCAACTCAAGTATTGTAAATATCACTGATTACGGGAAATTATAAAAGCTTATGTTGATAGGGATTACTGGAGATCTCGGACAAAGATGGTCAAAAGTGATAGAATCTCGAAGTACTGAGGAGCGGACTGAAAACGGCAAAGACCCCTCACGTACTATTCTGAAGACCCTACTTTCATGCCCCGCCTCGGGAAGGCTTGACGCTGAAATCGGAGCAGTGGGCTCGCAAAATGGTCAAAAAGTGAATGATTCGAAAATCACTGTTTTCGCTGACTTTGAGCCGGCCTGCTCATTTAGTGCGGTCGAAAATCCCTCGCTGAATAACACACGAGGGGCCTTACGCCAGACTGCACCGCCACTGCACTGCGAAAAACGGTGCGACACACAAAAACTTCAAACAACGGGCTGGGTGTGTACTTGGTCAACATTTCGCATGGAGTACCTTTCTGTTCAAATTAACGAAATCGACTGAATGTAAGCCAATTCGATTTAATCTTTTCTCGGAGTGAGAGTGTGACACCGCACTGTTCGACCGGTCGGTGCTCTTAAAATTAACACAAGAATCGCGGTCG